AAGTTATCTAAAATTATACGCAAACCTATACATAAGTGTATAAGAAATGTGTATATAAATTATATATAATTTTTTATCTATAAAATGTAGATATACATTTAATTTTTAGGTATGTACGTATATAATGCATATATATAAATGAAGGCAAATATTATTGGAGCCTGATCTAAAACAAACAAACAAACAAAAAACATGCAGAAGATCTCCTGAATGCATGCTACAAGATATTATAATATGTATACTGTTAAAATAGGCAATCCACGTAGCCCAAGAATTTTTCATTTTCAGTTAATCTCTAATGAAAGCCTCACTGAGTAGTTCTGAACCTAACGCATTCCCCAGATACCATACTGATTCACACAGTGCTTTCTTATTCATTCTAATGTATTGGTCTTCAAACAAATCAAAACCTTCTTAAACTGAAACAGTGTTCAGGTCAGAGGAACTATCTTTTAAATAATTTCACAACTTTGTTTCATCAGTTAACTTAGGGAGGGGTGAGGGTGAATGAGAGAGAAATGACACAAAAATCCTACCACCACAAGCCAAGACAAAAACCACTAAACACCCAAAACCTGGAATACCAACAAGGTAATACGCTTTGGAGGGAAATAAATGCATATAAGAAGTTTTTTCAAAATTTAATCGATTACAGCATCACTGGGGGGATGTGGGGAAAAGAGGTTACACGGGACCATATCTTCTCTCACCTCCTGTTGGGAGTTTTAGTTTTGCCGAGGTTATCTGTTTTATGAGGGCTATCATATGCAGTATTGCTTTCTCCCTAATCACCTTATGATTTTCAGGAAAACCATCCCCTCCCCTCCCAGATCCTCAGATACCTACTACTGTTCAAGTCATCAATAATTAACAAATGACTGATATTCTTTTGTTGTGTAGGGTTTCAGTCTACAGCACTAGCTGACTAGCCAAGAGATCCTGACTGATAATTTGATCTCTTCAAATATAAAAGAGAGACTAGCTGTCCAGTCCAGAACACACTGGTTTAGCTTTTTTTTTTTTTTTTTTTTAAAAAAGTTTTCTCTTCCGTTGCCACAAAACACCATGTGATAATCAATCCCGGATATGAGGCAGTAGCACCAGTATCCCAATTGCTTACATAATAACACATTTACCAATATCAAATAGTCTTTTTTTCTTTGCTTCTAGCAAGGGTGTTTTCTGAGAGAACACAGAAATGTTAAGAGGAAGGAAGACAGTTAAGTGAAATTCACTTACAGTTCAGGAAAACAAAAGGAAAGATTGTTCCATTTTTTGAACAAAGTTTTAAGTTTTGCTCTTTAGTCTGTGTTTAGAAATCTGACATCTGAATTCTATAAAATATTGAGACTAAAGCTACTGCTAACTTCAGTGTGAAACCAGCCAAGCCTCTTGTTTAGATATGTTCTTTGACAAAGGTAAGTACCTAAGAGAAAAAGAACCCAACCGATCTTTAAGTCTTTCTTTTTTCCAAAAAAAGGAAAAAAAAAGGGAAAAAAAAGCACGTACATGTGAAAGAGAGAGAGAGGGCGGGGGGGGGGAGAGGAGGAGAGGGAGAGAAAAGAGATGATCTCAGCTAAGGTTAACAGGATAACCAAATTGCCTACAAGTGCCCCAATTCTTGGTTATTGCATCATTTTCTTCAGAGCAAAGAGGAACAGTTCTTTGCTTTTTTAGAGGTGTGGATAATAAGAAGTCGCAAAGCCAAAGAGAAGGATAGGAATTCTTAATCTCAAAGTTCTAATAGGAAAGAAAGCCTTTTCTTACTTATCACTCTGATGTAAAACACTTTCTGACCAATTTCTTTTCCTCTCTGGGAGCACTGACGTTTCAAGCATGCTCCCATACCATTTTGCTTGTTAGCAATCTAGAAGAATGAAAAAACAAAATAAACAAAACCCTCCAAAAAACACCACAGAGGTAGGGCAGTAAAGAGAAAGAGAAAGGAGAGCGTGGTTTTCTAGGCAGTTCTGTATACGGCTGAAGTTTTATTTGGCCAAAAGATGAAAGTTGCATTTGATGAAACCGTAACACCTCTTAAGTGGAGGCTAGGCACAGCAATCTGTGCAGCTACTCTGACAAAAGCAAGGAGGAGGAAAAAGTGAAGATGGTACTCAAGGAACAAATACATTTGTAATGATTTAATCAGCGCCTGAATCTAAGTAACAGAAAGAAGGGATTGAACTAGTCTCATAAAGCCCTATGAAAAACAATTAAGAACAGAAGAAGATGAAGCCAGATTGCCTAGGTGAAGAAGTGTTACATATGCCTTGACCAAGTACAGCAACCTGCATTGTCTTCTATCAGGTTAGAGAGGAAAAAAAAAAAAAAAAAGCAACACATACATTTGTCCTGTTTTACTGCCTCTTATGGCATAGTAATATAATCTCTTAGCAAAAAGCAAAGACCTACTGACATTTCTGACAAGTTCTAATTCCTGGTTTATCACATGGGTAACACCTTCCCTTGGGAAACTAAGCACCTTTGCAAGTTAATGAATTTCAAAGCAAGACTGCAGTTAACTTCTTCATTTGCATATGCAAAACACTCTTCTTTCCTTTTTACAAATGTAACTTTGATTATTTGCAAGAGCATACAGAAAAAAAGGGCTTGAAAATTATGGAGTATCCTAATTATGAATGGTCTGTATCTTTTGTATTGCAAGCCAGCCACAAAAATCACTGTTATTCCAAATCATATATACAAAAAGACAAAAAAGCGAGAGCGTGAAATTTACTCTTGCAACAAAGCCAGTAAGAAACGTGATATGAAAGCATGCATTTATGAGACATACTAGACAGAAAGCGTGAGCTATTGTAGAGAAATGGAATGGGACACTTACACAGTGGCTCTCTCTCAGGGGGTCCTGATGGTTACTATGTTCTTAAACCATCTAGACAGAATAGCAGGCTGGGAAGAAGGGAGCCACATACAATCCACCAGATGACAATGCTACACAGTGTAGACACCAGCATAGCTAGGAGCCATCTAAAAAAGGGGTTGGAGGGGGAGGAAAAGATGAACAAAAATTCAAAAGCAAAAGCTATTGGTGCATTTTAGCTCATTTTAAGTTCTTCTAAAGCATATTGCTCTATAATCTTAGCCAAGCATTTTCTCACTTCCTGTAACAGATCCAGGCAACCGTAACTTGTCAAATATTCTGTGTGTTACTGGCATCAACATAAAGCAACTTTTCTAACATACTCACTGAAGTCTTCTATTCCAAAGAAGGTCTATACCACTCCTTTGAAAACAAATGCATTCTAGGGCAGTGTATCACTGACCACTTGCTGCCATTTCAGAATGCAGTTTGATCAGCCTGTATTCACAGATCCTACTTCACTACCTTATGTTTTAATATTAAAACATTAAATCAGAGCCAGATTGGTTTTCTAGGAACAAACAAACAATTTATGCAAAATATCCAGATGGTGAGAGTATATTACCTTCCTGTGATCAAAACAGCAGAAGCTAATTCAGTAATCCCTTTGCCAAAGGTGCAGCATATCGCTAATTGGAACATACAGATAAAAAGCATCCATTCATCAAGACAAAGAGAATTTATACAGCCAACTTCAGTAAACATTAACAAACGCTTAACACAAATCCCCTGCATCTTAAATGGAGGTAATGCCTCTAGCTCTCATCAGCTTCTCCTGTTCTTATTTTGCTTGTTTTTTCTCTGAAATAAATCGACAGAGAGGATGTAGAAATCTGTTTCTGTTTCCCCAAATAATTCAATAACATTCATAATTTTCACAGCAAGAGCAATTATTATTTTTTTTAAAGAGTCTGAACTAAAAGGGAAAAAGACTCCTAACTCAAGTAAGGCAGCTAAATATATCTAGTGGTACTTTGTTTTAGGAATAATAACTCAAAGTGTGTTAGAAGTTTGCAGCTGAAATAATTTACTGAAAAATGTATAACTACACAAATACTTTGGAAGAAGAGAAGGAGGGAAATTCAAACTCCCTGTGAAAAGGCACTTCAGAGAATTTTTCTTCTAGCCACACCACACCCTATGGAATACTACTACAAACTCCAGGTTTCTTTATTTGAATTCTACAAAAACACAAACTAGCTAGTTACTTTAATTAAAGCAGTGATGCAGAATGTTTCATGAATTTTAATGGCTGACTGTCTGCATATTAACAAAATGGCTTTGAATAGACTGTATCATACAGTCAATATTTTTCTATGGAATGTACGGTAAATGAGATCTTTCACAGACTGCATTACGTGACTTAAAATACCATTTATGAAAAAGAACTACGAAATAAAAACTAAGGCTATGTGCAAGTTGGCTGCTTTTCACTGTACTATTTGAAGGAACTAAGGTGGTGTATTTATTTATTTCAGTTGAATACTGGCTTTGGTCTGAATATGTCCTTCATTATACAACTGCCTGTGTAAATGACGAGAGCATGGACAGAAAAGACTTTTTAAAACAAAGGCGAATTCATCTATCTTTAGAAACCCTCATGCATTGCTGCATATCCCTGCTCTTTCAGTGTATACTTACTACATACCTGTTGCTTTTCTAAAAGTCAGGCAATGCCACATGTCTTCTGCAGAACCTGTCTGTTGTTGTTGTTGTTGTTTTTCCTCTTGTAAGCATAGCTACTGCAATGTAATACTCAGTAAAAGAAAAGTTTCGTCTAGAAAGAAAATAAAATAAAAAAGGCCAGCAGCCACCTATGAGCTTTGGAGTGTCATCCACTCTAGAAAGACACCTTAGTAAAACCCAAGTTGCCTTTGGACTGTGATGCTGGAGCTGTGTTACTTGCAAAAATCTAACAGCTAGGAGTCACTATTCATTTCCCAGCAATCAAAAGAAATCCCAGATATACCTTGCAAGTCTTGTATTCTCTTGTAGCGTATGCAAGGGCAGCCAGAAAGTTATTCTACCTGCAGTTGCCACAAGCTACAAGAGATGTAAAGGCGACTATGAACTTTCTTTTACGGATGGTGTTGCACTACTTACCCAACAAATAAAGAGACGAGCACAGCAGGCTCCCTGACAGAACCGTGCTCCTTTTGAATTTTAGTGAAATACTGCTACTCCCTGCCTTCCAGATCTACCAGCTATTCTCCTAAAGCCCACTAAAACCCCAAAGGTTTAGGGAAAATTTCTCCCCGAAAAAAAAAAAAAAAAAAAAAATCAAACAAAGCTGAAGATTTTTCTTTCAATTCTTCTTCTGAAGTAGCTGACCTTACTTCAAGAACAAGCACGTACCTTACTCCAGCCAATCAAACACTACCACACAGACTGATAGTCTTCCATTTTTATACTACCAAACAAAGGAAAACAGAATAGTTGTAATTAAACTAAATCTACACCACTCAGAAATACAGTGGGAACTGGTGCAGCACAGAGTAGTGGAATAAAAAAAACAAAACAGAAAACTAAAAGTTGAGTAATACAGTTCTCCTGCCTCCTAAACACTCATCAAGCCTTCAGAGAAATGGTGAATCTCATGCTGATTTTAAATGAGTGAAAATACGTTGCCAACAAACTTTTAGGGGTTAAAAGAAGTCTGCAAGAAAAGGGTTAAAATATTTACGGCATTCATACATGCAGAAACGCACTTACGTTAGCGGAGATGTGGCTGCGGTTTTTGCCTGCCTTCTACTTTTCAGAGCACGAAGTTTATCACCCTGCGTTACACAGTTTGTTTCGTCTTCATCACTGTACTGGATGAAGTTAAAAAGCAAACACCCCCCCCCCCAAACGCAAGAATTAAAAAATATACTTACATATTTAAGAGTTAACCTTATTATAAATCTTAAAATTAGAATTATCTCAACAGGAGGAAAGTTTGCCAACATAAAATGAAAGCAAATTCACCTGCATAAGTACAATTTTGTTTCCTGTAGCTGCTGTTTTTAAAGCTCTAAACTATTAAGCGATGTCATGAATTATATGCATTGCAATGTTATCTACCTTTAAAAGAGCAGAAACACATCCTAAACCTTTTGCTTAGGTATAGCACAATCATTACTGAACTACAGCATTCCTCTCCTCCTCCTCCATTTGTCTTTTGGAAACAGCATTACCAGTGTTTTAAAAGCCAGCACGAAGAAGGATTACAGAGGCCATAATTACTTAGAAACTAAAAAGAGCAGAAAACCCTTCATCCCTTCCCCAAAAGCACGCACAGTAATGTAATCAAGTGAATCCAAAATTCAATCAAAGCATTTCTGACTGCAGATCTTGAGTCCTTTCCTGTTCTTACAAGAACTGCAATACAATAAGTATACTCTTACTTTCTGTGCGCACTGCACTTCATCTTTCGTACTTGCTGATCTTACCGGTTTTGACCCCAAATCTCTTGGTACAAAATGGGAACACACATGAAGAATTTGATAACTTATTGTACAGGTTTGTTCAGAATTAGAGAGATCCTCAACAGCGGTAACAACTCCTACAACAGCATAACGTTCAGACAGTTACCAGTTCAATGTCCTTTCGGATGGCTCTCCTGTTTTTCACATCATTAATTGAAATATCATCTACTCCTGACAGGATTTTTGTTACAGCAATATTACGGTTTTCCTTCAACTTTGCACGGAAAATATCTCCCTCTGTCCAAAGTTCTGCCTGTTTCCTATCACGGTATGGAAAAAAAGAAAGCAAATAAAGTAACAAATTAAAACCAAGGATGATAAAGAGTACAATACAAGAAGAAAGGACATCTAGATCTATTTTCAAAATAATTGATCCTAGCCAATCTACTTACCCCGTCAGGAAGTGTTGCTGTGGTCCAATCACTGAACCAGGTCTATTTATTCTAATCCAGGCAATAGTTTCAGCAGCTGTCATCCGGTAATGCTTCATAATATAACAGGCTATAAGCGTGCCAGTTCGCCCAAGACCAGCTGCACAAGGTAGAAGAATGACTTATTTTATACATCCATTTCTAGCTGGAACCTGCTGTAGCTATAGACATTGTTATCTGGATAAATAATTAACTTCCTAGCTTATTAAACCTGCTACTGGTCAAACTGGGTAAGCACAACCTACCTTCTGATCTTTTTCTCCCCATTTAGAGGGTTACTAACACACTGCTCACATTTTCAGTGAGGTGACCTTCTAAAGCCACCATACATAAATATATATATATGTGTATATATGCACATAAACACACACACACACATATATACATATATATATGAGAATCTTTTTATGTATAGTATAAAACAGCTGCCTCTTCCCAATATTATCAAAGCACTTCAATTGTAAATTAATCATAAATCATACTAAAAACAGTTGCTCTTCCAAACCCTCCTCTAACCAACCCCCCTCTGTTTTTACTTCTTAAGGAAGTGCTAAATTTTGCGATATGGAAGGCTGGGCACTAGCCAAGACAGGCAAAGAATACTCCAAACTGAGAAAGTTTTTTTGAAAGAGCACTAGAAACAGTTCCATTTACATTGACAAACATGAAAAAGAAAGGAAGATAGCTCCAAGCTCAAGTGTTCCTCTCCTTGAACATATGCTCTGAATGCCAAGCTACACATCACCAGATCTCACTTAAGAATTGGCTGATCAACATCAGTGTTGAATCTTCAGTATGGTCCAATAGCCAAGACAACCACACAGCACTTTCCACCCGTTGCCCAACATAAAGAATAGGTGGCAGCATTCTCTGCTTTCTCAAGAGGTAGCATCAGGTAGAGAGGGACATAACTTTGGTAGTCTAGACACCTTTATCAAGCTAAAGATCAAAGACCATCTTAATCTGAATGAAAACAAAGAACCTGAGCCACTGCTGCGCAACATACAAGTGCCATCAATTAACCAATATGCCCAAATTTCACACCTCAGTGGAAAGAAAGAGTATTCACTTGCCTCCAAAAAATAACGTAGCAGTTTTAACCAATTCTTCCACTTCATGCAAGTGGAATCTTGTTGAACATACAGCCAGTGAGTGGCAGATTCAAGAACAAAATTACAATCTTTGCATGTCCCAGGTATATGCTTTAAAAGGCTTTTCTCTTTCACTCACAGCGAAAGGATCTACTACATCAGGTACTGAGGCAGAGTTGGTGGAGAACCAAAGGGGTGTGGCAGACAGCTAAAGATGGTGTGGAAGGGGAACTGCATTAGTATTTCACAGGCAACTATTCCTAGTATTTTCCATTTGGAACACTTGACATTTTAATGTTGTATTCTTTTAAAGACAGGTTTGTTTGTATGGATTTACAGTCCCTCGCTCCCCCGTCCCCTTTTATTTTTTAAAAAAATAAAAGAGAGAAAAACATGAAACATTTGAAAGTCAATGGCAGAACTATTTTGGTTCCTCTCTAGGACAGAAGGGCCTAAATGAAGGACATTTAAACACGTACACTCCTCTGCCAGCTAAACTTAAAGGAGTAGAGAACACCTGTAGAAAATTTCCCAAGTGTTAAAATTATGGTTTGAATGACTCTTTCTTAGCTCTAAAAGAACGTGCTGAATACTGATCATAAACAGTACAGCTGGGCACATGTCTAGCATATTAATTCTAAAATGCAAGAAGCCAAATGAAGGACACCTGAATCTTGCAACAGCACAAACAATTCTATTGTTGACTCAACCTGAAATGATCAGGGGCAAACTTGGAGATAAAATAGATAGAAATCATAAATTTTTGGCCTTGACTAGAAGTAAAAGTTTTGAAATGCTGCTCAGATACGAGGGTTGTATAAAGGCTTTGGAACCAAAAATGGGAAGATTTTCCTTGGCTTCCAATCTCCCTCAAGGAATGAGAAAAGGGAAACACTGTTTCTGCTATGATGGAAATCCCCTCTGGCAGTCTAACTCTGAACTTTCCACGTACGGAACAGATATTCAGAGCATGTCCAATGCAGCTAGTAAAAACAGTTTCTGAGGGCTAAAGATTTTTGCTGTTCTGGAGGAACACTGCAATACTTTATGAAGACTCTTTTCAAAAAGCTCCACCGATATTTCAGAAGCTCACCGTTTGGTATATTTAACTGTGTTTTTTTCTGAAAGACCTACTATAAACCTTGCCAGTACTTCAAGTCCCTGCTCAAAAGCCTCAAAGTGCTAACGTTTCCTAGAAAAAGGACTATTAATGTTGGCGGACTCATTTTCCCCAACCTTGTAAATAATCTGTTTGAAAAAACTGCAGTTTGGCAGAGTTGCTAATAACTGGAAATAATGGAATTACAGTGCAAAATATCTCAGGAACTGTAACTATAAGCATAATCTGCAATATAAAGAGTTTGTGCACTATACCTTTGCAATGAACGGCTATAACACCTTCAGCACTTTCACAAATATTTAGAAATGTTTTAACTATAGTATCACTAGGTATGCTTCCATCAGCAAAGAAGAGGTCATAATGCTGAAATCCAGCATCTGTAAATCGTTTGGCATCATATAGCTTTTTGTTGAGGCGTATTATAGTGGTGACTTTATGTTTCTTGAAATACGGGAAGTAAGCCTCTGGAGCATGGTGGGGATAGTCTTTTGGGGAGGAAAAAAAAAAAAAAAAAAAGAATAAGCTTCAAACTGCAGAAATATATGAAGACCCAAAATCAATAGATGAAAATACTTTCAAAATACAACTCATGTTCAACATAAAGAAATTGACTAACTGAAAAAGGAATTTTAATATAATCATCTAGTTCAGATACAATTAAACCAAGCATTACATTTTTACTGTTAGGACTTTTATAAAAGAAAAATAGCCAAGGAAAAAAACACATTCTTTGAGGAAAAATTTTTAAAGCTTATTCTTACTGAAAACAATCAACTAAAAGCAGTGGGCTTGTGTCCCCCACCTCCTTTTTTAAGCGTACCATTTTCAATTTTACTTCTTGAATGAGGTCCACTGAAGGCAATGAATTTGTTTGGTATAATCCAGTTAAAATCTCCATTTTCTGCTCTCTGTCAAGAGAAAATGCTTGGTTTATCATTAACCCATTTTCAGGCTTTTCCTTATTGTTTCAAAACACATGCTAGATAGAAGAGGTGTACAATTTTTGCCAAAGGAAGCATGTTAGTAGCCTGCATTTTGTTTCATCAAGAGAATGCTAGGTGCTCTCTACCTCACTCTTTTTGCCCACATTCTACTCTTTCTAAATTACAGTCTCAGAGCAATGCAACTAATGCCCTTCAGATGAAAGGTAACTTCAATTTTTTAAACTTTTTATAAGTTTATAAATTGTGGCCTTGGCAATACTTCCCCTAAATAATTTTTTAGATTCTAAAGACACCTAATTTGTTCTTCATAGATAAATGACTGCTTTGCCTTTATGAGAATACATATTAAGTGAAGTGTTGTAGTCCTTTACCTTCACGTTAATTTCCCATGCCCCAGAGCCATTTTTATAAGCTTGGCGTTTCCCAGCCCTGTTTTTCTCTTTACCTCAAAGAGTATTATCAGACCTTTGTAATCTGTTCATAGATATACACTTTAATTGCTTTCCAAAAGCCAACTTGACACAGACTTGTATGTCCTCATGTTTCTTATCAAGATTGCTCAGGAGTATGCAAAACTTCTAAAAGACGGCCAAGAAACAAATCACCTCTCCCCCTCATCGTCCGGGGATTTAATAAAACTGTGGAAAAAAAACGGATTTTCCCTTTAGTTTCTGCAACAGTCACCTTTTCTCCCCACTTCTGAGCCTGACTATGCTTAAATCTGAATTTTACCTTTTCTCTTTTACATCTTTAAAAGAACTGAAGTTTAAGGAGATAAAAGTGGAACACAGAAAATGAACCTTACTCTACAAAAGAAACAGTATAAATGATCAAACAGCTATCTTCGCATTAATAACTGCAAACAAACCAGAAGATTGATACTGAGCACTTACCTCGTAATGCTCATACTCATTTACATCAAACACATTGAAATCCAGGAAACCATACCGCAAAGCCTAAAATTCAGAATACAGCCTTTAAACAAAGATAACATCCTCTCACTGAGGACAGTTCAACACTCCTTTAGGTTACTGAAAACCCCTACTACCTCTTCTACTGTTTGCAGTTCTTATCTGCAAAAATAAGGATCAACTCAGTCTTGGTTCAAAATAGATTTGTGAATTTTAATAAAAGTGAGGGTAAAGAAGAAAGCCCACTCTTTTTCTGTTTTCAACTAACCACTAGAAAACTCTACACTACAGAAATATTAACTCTTCTTACTCCTGCTAGCAGTACAGAGTGCCAAAGAGAAAAATAGTTGGCAAAAAAATAACTACTTAAATTACCAGTATATTCTAAACTCTGCTCTCAAGGATTACAAATATTTTTGGTGCATGAAAGCTATTCTCTGTCATTACAATTCTAATATCTTCACTGATTTTAAATTGGCTAAAAATTGAGTCTGTTTACAATCCTTAGCAGACTTCAGGCCAGTCCTTGATGCTCAGTCATTATCTACAGGCATTAAGTTTAGATTTTTATACTGTACTAAATATTTGGGTAACTGGCTGTTTATCCACTTTTTAAGTGAGAAAGCACAAACACAAACAATCCCATATCCCCGGCTATTTTAAATACCACTTCCTAATCTCCTCTTTTGCTGCACAACCTTCTGGCGTTTTTCTTGCTGCTCACCGGTACTGACAAGAATATCAATTCACCACTCTTGGCAGATGAGCAGCCAATGTCAGAACATCCAAAAAACCTGCAAACCACAAAGCTGCAGTGGGCTGGCTTAATCAGTAGCAACACCAGTATTTGACAGAGATGCCCATTAAAAAAAAAAAAAAAAGGTAGGGTGGAGAGCTACAGAATTCCCCATTTTACTGCTTGTGCACACTAAGAAGAACGAAGAATGGACAGAAAATTCCTCGGTCCTTAAACGCCACGTTACTTCACCACTGTGTTGCAATAAGACACCAGATGATGACAATTTGTATTTAAAAAAAACAAAAAACAAAAAACAAGCACCTGCCTCCTACCATTTGTTTTATTTGTATTACCACAGCAAAACTAGAAGTCATTAGCTGCAAATGCCTAAAAGGCATCACTAAGCTATGCACAACTTCTTTCAAAGGGAGTATTCAGCCTGAAAACGCAAGGCCAGAGGGCCATTTGATAAATCTGTCAGGCAACATTTAGTGTTTAGAGGTGCAAATTACTGTCTTGAAAAGATTACTTAAACACAAATCAAAATTTCTTATTTAAAAACTCTAGTTGATTATATATCAGTCAACTGCTACAGATGCCATATCTAGTTTTGTTACAATGCAATAATATCTAAGCTAGGCAACAATTGGAAATCTGCTACTAAACTGCTTTAACTGGCTCCTAGCTTCCTAAGCTGCCTTTTTTTGCAGGACCATATTTAGCTGACCTTTTGCCATAAGAAAAATATTGTTTTACTGACCTTGTTTATTGCATGAAAACAATCCAGCAATGTTAGATGAAAACTGCAAGTACCAAATGAAGCATCCCTGTAACACATGTGTTTTCATGAACATGTATTTTCATGACCAAAATCATTCCCGTTTGAATCCAAGTCAAAGCAGTTAAAGTTACTTCTCAAAAAACAACTTTAAAAGAGGATTACTTCAAGACAATTACAACAAAATAATTACATCAGATGATTATTTCCCCCATCTTGCAGCTTATAATAATAACAAAACATAATATAGATTATGCTAACAGATGATCCCAGACCAAGGTTACTCCAGTTATACTTTTCAGTAAAACTGACATGTTCAGCTGTTAATGTTAAAAAAGGACAGGTATATTAAAAAAAAAAAAAAAAAAAAAATCAAAAAACCCATGGTAAAAACTAATGCCAAAATGAACATCATGTTCTGATAGACACTCTTAAACACTTTCTTTGGAAGTACACTCAAAAAACAGTTTTCATCCTTCTAACTGTAATATACTGCAAGATTTTCCCTCTACTTAAAATAAAAAATACTGTGCAGACGCATTATATATCTACGTGAACAGCATCTTAGTAAACTGTCAAGATGCACATTTGTGTAGATATATTAAGACAGAGAAGTGTAACACAGTTTATGTATAAACATGAAAGATTTTTTCGTTGAAGTCCTTTCAACTACTACTTTTTAAATCCTCTTGATTCTAGAATAGCATGTTCTTAGTACCGTTATTAGTAGATTCCATAAGCACTGTAGAATAAGCTTTCTCTACAGAAATATTATAGCCAAATTAAAAAAAGAATTGAAAATTAAACTGTGAATCTACAAAGAATATTTTGTTTTCGCAGAACACCTAGTTCTAAGATTTTACAGCTACAGTCATTAATTTGACATAAAGTAAAAAAATTTATAAACAAATATACACACACACACACACACACACATATATATATATATATA